AGTTGTGCCACATCATCAAATGAAGGTCCCGAAAGCTTGACTCCATCCATGTCATTAAGGTCTACTTTACTTTGAGGAGGCAGCTCTTCCCCAGTCATCTTTTGAGTGCCTTCCAACCTGAGGGGCTCATCTTCCGGCACTATATCAGACAATGTTCCACTGCTATTCATAAGGTTTTCACTGGCTAATTCTTTTCAGAAGTAGACAGTTGGAACCTTCTTCCTAGTCTGTCCTAGTCTGGAAGCTCAGCTGAAATCTGTCCTCCATGGGTGACCCTGCTGGTATGTGAATACAGGTGTCATAGCTTCCAGCATCACAGCAACATGCAAGCTCCCACAGTATGACAAACTCACAGACACATGGGGGCAAGTGGCGGATATCACCCCTAAATACCTTAGCAAGTATCTCCTTAAAACAAGGTCATTTTCCTATGTAACCACAATACCACTATCATACTCAAGAAATTTAACATTTACAAATAATGTAATCTAATATACAGTCCATATTCAAATTTCCCCAACTGTTATAATTATTTCCTTAAAATCTTTGTTGGACACAGGATCCAACTAAGGATCATACAATCCATTTAGGATTTAGTATCCGTTTAGTATCTTATAATTTAGAACAATCTCTTCCTTTTTTTTTCCTTTTCTGTTTCATGACATGAACATTTTTTGAAGAATTCAGATCTGTTGTCTTGTAACATGTTCCACAGTTTAGATTTGTTGGATTGTTTTCTTATGATATTTTAAACTTTTTAATAGAAAATAATTACATGAGCCTCTACTGTGCATTTCTATTGTTTTTCTGTACCCATACTATTGTTTTTCCATTTTTGAGACTTTGCTCACATAGGCCATCTCCTTATGACTGCCCTTCCTTCATCATATCTCTGTGTGGCCCGGGTTAATATTTAACCTTCTCTAGGAAAATTTCCCAGTGTTCTCCATCATGAAATAATCTTTGAATATCCAGTGTACTTTAGTTTTTCTTATAGCATTTATAATTTGTTTTTTACTTCATGTTATTGTTTTTATTTGTTCACATCCTTTAAACTTCTCCCTAACGAAAGCCACTGAAAGGCAGGTCAAAAATATCTTTGTGACTTCCCTGGAATCTAGCACATGGTCATTCACATAGTAGGCAATCTATATATTTGTTGAATGATGAATGGATGAGTAAATGAATAAAGATAGTATCTCTGGTTTCTGAGATATAACAAAGTGGTTAGGAACTTAATGTTTTAAAAAAGATTTACATAATTTCTTCATAAGTGTACTTTCTGCATCCAAAATAGTCTATCTAATTAATTTTTTTTTGTTTTTTTTTTAGTTTTAGTAAAAACATGTAGTTACATGCCTTGATGTAGTATTTTTAAAAATCATCTTGTTAAGCATTGAGGGAAGCCTTTCAATCCAGAGAATTCATTCTTTAGCTTTGGAAAATAGTCTTATATTGTCTCTTTGATAATTTCCTCTCCTACATATTTTTTGTTCTCTCTGGAATAAAGTCCTATAAGTCATAAGCTGAAACTTATGGATTAATTCTCTACATCTCTACCTTTTCTTTCATATTTTCTCTCTTCTACTTTTTGAAAGATTTCCTTTACATTGTCTTCCAAATGTTTGTTGATCTTTTTAAAATTTGGAAGTCTTATTTTTCATTTTCAAGAGCTCTATTTTTGTTTTCCAACTAGGCTTTTTAATGGTGTGGTGCAATGGATTGCTTTTTGTGTGGCTTTTCTCACCATGGTCTTGTAACTCCCACCCAGGTGATTGTTTGCGACAGTGAAGATAGGGTAATTGTGGCCCACCAAAGGGATTGGTCAGTTTTGCCATCCCACTAGGCTTGAAATGAGCCACCCCAGAGGCAGGAGAGAGAAGATCCCACCACCACAACGAAGAACAGCCAGGAGTGGAGAGCATGTTCTTTGGACTTGGGATTCCTGCGCTGAGAATCTCCTAGACCCAGGAGACAGAAAGCAAGATGTAACCCTGAAGACAGTGAGAAGCGGTGGCAAGAGAGACCAGCAGAAGAGACTGTGCATTGGGCTTCCCGGCCCATGGAACTAGAAAGCTGAGTGCCTTTAGGCAGAGGCAGAGGGCCAGGGAGAGGTGTGCCTGTGAGCACACAGTTGGGAAGAGGCTGTCCTGATGGAAGAACTGTATCCTGAGAGTTCTTCAACCTGAATTGTAATCTGTTACTTCCCTAATAAACCCCATAATTGTGAGTATTGGCTGTGAGTTCTGTGTGGCCATTGCAATGAATTATCAAACCCAGCAGAGAAGTAGAGAGCACTGTGGGAGGGATGGTTGGTGTCAGAGTTGGTAAAGATGGCGGAGATAGGAGGCATGTTTGATCTCTGCCTCGTAGGAATCAGCCTTGGGCTGTTGATCTTGATTCTCCTTCCTCCTGGTGAAGTTAGAGGAGGGCAGATGCCACCCCCAAGCCATTTTTATAAACAGCATCTGTTTCTTATGCTACTGATGTATTATCTTCTCAAATCCATGTCAAAATATTAATTAGAACTTCTTCTGTTTCCTGTTACTTCTGTGTAAGCCTTTTAAACGGCTTATTTGCTATCTTGGTCTCTTCTCATTCATATTGAAGTTACATCTCTTAGTTTCCTAGTGCTGCTGTAACAGAAATACCACAAGTGGGTGACTTTAAAGAACAGAAATTTATTTTTCACAATTCAGGGCATTGGCTATAGGGGAAGGCTCTCTGTTTGTTGGCTACGGGGAAGATCCTTCGCTCTTTCAGCTTCTGTACCTCAGCGTTCCTCAGTTCCTTAGAGATCGTCACGTGGCATCTATCTTTCCACATTTGTGCTTGTCTCTGTGACTGGCAACGCTGGTGGTGTAGTGGTTAAGAGCTACAGCTGCTAATCAAAAGGTTGGCAGTTCGAATCCACCAGGGTCTCCTTGGGAACTCTATGGGGCAGTTCTATTCTGTCCTATAGAGTCGCTATGAGTTGGAATCGACTCGATGGCAATGGGTTTTTTGGTTTTGTCTCTGTGTCTATGCTGCTGTTTACATCATTCAGAAGTGATCAGGTTTAGGATACACCCTACACTGATGTGGCCTCATTAATATAACAAAGAAGACCCTATTTCCGAATGGGATTACACCACAGGTTAGGATTCCAACGCATATTTTGGGGGGACACAATTAAACCTATAATAGTGTGCTATATATTAAGAATGGGAACCTCCTCTGTGCACTGGAAAGCTGATTGGGAACTCTGTGTATTTGAAAAAGGTTTGCCATAAGTTAATTAAATGGTGAGCTATGCATTATGCTATGGGATATCCCAACTGTCAAATCATGGAGGTCTTTTTTCCTGAGACCATTCAATTTCTTTAGAAAAGTTTTTTGTGTTTTTTTTTTCTTTGGCCTGAGGAGTAAACATCTGGCTGCTGAATGGTCACCCAGAAGAAGTGTATGTTTTCTGTTCCTTATTCAGCCTTTTGGTTAACCCCCTCTGCTTTTAGTCCCTCACTTCACTCTCTCATTCCTGGCACCTATATTCTAAGCATCAGTGCTCCAAGCCTCAGCTTCATCCTGCTGCATCATTTACCACTCATCTTCCATCTTCCAGAATCTTGTTGAAATCTCTCACTCTCTGATGGTCTGCTTGCTCTTATTGTTGTTACAGGCTTATATGTTCTTTTTATCCCTTTACTATCATTTTGGTAGTCTTGGAAAGGAGAGGAGATAAATACATGTACTCAATTTACCATCTTTAACCAGGCTGTCTACTTAATTTTTAAAAGTGTTTGTGTTACAAACTTTCTCATGGTAAATTGGTCTTGTGACTGGTGTAAACTGTCTGCCTAGAAGATAAAAGAAGTGATTCTACATGTGATTATGGGAGTGAGGTTCAAATAACCTTGGGTAGTTTTAAAGTTTCCCACTGAGTAATCTGGACAAGGGGAAAGTACTTAAGATTTTGTGGTGAGCAGTATGAGATAAACTGTTTCTTCTCGACTTCAGAAGCCAGGTTACTTATTTACAACTGGGATAAGATTAAACAACTAGAGAAATTCCACAAACCATTTGTAAAGTTAGTTTTCATCCTGCTGTCAGTCCACGCTCCTGTGTGTGTGTCTGAATTTTCCATTATCTCCAGACTCCCAGCCCTTGAAAGAAAAGAAAGCCGCATCATTGCTCATGCAGGCCCCGCCCGAGTCCCACTCACGCACAAAGAATTTCCCCTTTGAGCTACCATGGCATTGGCTGGTTACTCATGCCACAGATTCCTCGGGATTGGCTGGGACTGCAAATAAAACACTGTTTGCCCATAATCAAGTTGATAAGCGACAACATAAATGCACACAGGTTCCTGTTCTTAGGATATAACATGAAGCGTTCGCTTTCTTCTTTCCTCCTAACACTGTCTCTGTCCAAAAGAGAAAATCTTAAAAGAAAAAAAAAGCCTAAAATGGGTCTACTGAACTCTAAAAGCTCCAAGGTCAAGCAAGCTCAGATTCTTCTCCTGGGACTTGATTCAGCAGGGAAGTCTACTCTCCTTTATAGACTTAAGCTTGCTCATAGCATTGTGACCATCCCAACAATAGGTTTCAATGTGGAGATGATTGAGCTGGAAAAGAGTCTTTCGCTCACTGTCTGGGACATTGGCGGACAGGAAAAAATGAGAGCCGTTTGGGATTATTACTGTGAGAACACTGATGGGCTGGTGTATGTCGTGGACAGCACGGACAAATGGCGACTGGAAGACTCCAGGAGAGAGTTTGAGCACATTTTGAAGAATGAACACATTAAAAACGTGCCTGTTGTCCTATTAGCCAACAAACAAGACATGAACGGAGCTCTGACCGCTGAAGACATCACCAGAATATTCAAAGTGAAGAAGCTTTGCAGTGACCGGAACTGGTATGTGCAGCCCTGCTGTGCCATTACGGGGGAAGGGCTGCCAGAGGGCTTCAGGAAATTAACTGAATTTGTGAAACGCCACCTGAAATCTAGAGAAGACACTTTTGCATTCTTCAAGCAGAACTGAGCCTGTGAAAAGGGACAGGCAGTGAGAGAGACACTGATGAAGTTGAAAGGGTAATTTTTGTTTTACATGCCAAGTGAGAAAAGCAAGTTAGTGTGTTCTTATATTGGCAAACTTCTCCAGAAAAGTTATTTCATCTAAATTCAGTTAAATTACTCAGAATAATATCTGGAAAATATTTATTTTTAGCCAGGTAATTTAGCAAACTCTGTGGTAATGATGATTGAGAAATGAACATGTTATAATTTTGTGCAAAATTCTAACATGTTGGATGATTCAGAATAATCATATTTGGGATTAAGTAAACTATTGCTTTATTAATTTTATATAACTATTAGGACAAATTTTAAGTTAACTGTCTGCTAATAGAGTCAGAATTCTTTCAGATTGTGTTTAGCTGTTACAGGTATTGAATTTCCACCTGTTTCTATGTAATAGCTGGGTGGTGTGAAAAATGAACTTTAATATGTTCAATAATGGAAAGGAAAAAGTTTGATGTTAACATTTCATAAATCCCTACCCCCTAAATAAAGCTCTTCATCTGGATTTCTGCCAGCTGTCTGAAATCTGTCCCTGGGAACTTCCTGCAGTGAGTCTTAATCAGTGAACTCTCGGTTGTTTATTGTGTAGAGGCTGTATTCTCCCGTAGGGAACAGAAGTTTATATCTTAAATCTTTGGAAATCAGGGTAGCACCTTAGGGGTTTAGGACAGGGTCTGGGCATAGAGCTCAGCTCTAGGCTGCAGCCCCAAGACCTGCTTCAGTGGAATTCAATAAAATAGTCATTACTTGGAACCTTATGTACAGCTCACTGTACTGGTTAAACAGGAATGAGGACCAGACTTTGCTCTTAGAGACCTTGCACAGGAGGAGACAACATGAAGCTAGTAGTAAGTCTAGGGCAGTAGGGTGCTACCTGCTTTAACAGGAGAGACTCTTCCTGATGTGGGGGAACCAGGAAGTGCTTCGTGAAGAGGCGGTGTTTCAGAGGTTCCCCAACTCCCAGGAAGTTCTCATTACTAGGAGACTCAGGGAAGGAGAAGAGGAACTGGAGATGGAATTCCCCTAATTGGCTCAGAACTCCCAGGGAGGCCCTGGTACTAACAGATGAGACTCTTTTATCCCACCCCACCCCGCGAAAGCCTCTTTTAATCTAGAAGCAGGTCTCAAGTCTCCCCAGCAGCCCAAGTCTTAAGGCTGCAGAGGAAAACAAAGGTACGTAAATAAGGATGTGAGGACAGTGGTGGTTCAGTGGTAGCATTCTTGCCTTCCATGTGGGAGACCTGGGTTCAATGCCCGCCAATGTACCTGAAGCACAGCTACCACCAGTCAAGCTATTGCTGTGGAGGCCTGAGTGTTGCTATGCTGCTGAACAGTTTTCAGTGGAGCTTCTAGACTAAGACAGACTAGGAAGAAAGGTCTGGTGATCTACTTTTGAAAAATCAACCAGTGAAAACCCTGTGGCTCACAATGGTCTGATTTCATTGTGCCTGGGGTTGCCATCAGTTGGGGGCAACTATCCAGTAGTTAACAACAACAACAACGAAATAAGGGTGCCAGCCCTGGATTCCTGTCATGGTTTTCTTCTCTCATCTTAGCCTCGTTTGTTCAGCAAAGATCTGCGTACCTATTTCTGTGCTACATGGTAAGGATTCAAATAAGAAAGTAGGCATACACATCATATTAGCTGCTCTGGTTGAATACTTGCAGGTACCAGGTGTTGTGCTAAGCACTTTCATAATCTTTTCTCTAATTTTCACAAGTACCCTGAAAAATAAACATTATTATCTCAATTTTACAAATGTGGGTACTGAGGCTAAACAAGGTTAAACAACAAAAACCACACACACACACACACACACACACACACACACACACACAAAACATTTGGTATTTTAATTGAGGAGTGACAGGGTCGCAATTCAAACTCAGGTGTATTTGACTCCAAGGCTGTACTGTTAATTGCCTTACACATAAGGTATGTTCTGTGTCTTCAGCCCACACTTACAACCCACCACTAAGACTAAATCCAGGCTGACATGTATTACTTTTATAGTAAAAAGGTTATTTGAAAACATCAACCAGGCAGAATAAATTAAATGCAAAAAGAGAGATGTAAGAAACATGCTGGAAAACTGGAAGAGAGAGAGTTTCCAATTTCAGGACGATCTCAGATACAGTAGAGTTTTTCCTAAGTTTCACAAAATGATTAAAATCTCAAATATACATCTTAAACAGTACCTCTTCGCTTACCATTTTTCCTATGTGTTTCATTGAATCTTCCTTAATCTTAAAAAGAGGAGTCCCAACTTATTTCTATAGAAAATGTCTGAATAGAGAACGTCTTCTTATGTTCCTAAGTATTTTGGTGATTAGAATTAATTCAAGTCCCTTGTGGTTCAGTCTTAGCATGATGTAAAATTCAAAGGAGATAGTCCTGGAAAAATATTGAAAGCAGGTTCTGGACAGAGCTGGAGAAGGATGTAGAGCATAATTCTAACTCACACACAAAAAAAAAAAAAAAAAAAAAAGAACAGATTTACTGGCCTAAAGGAGACTGGAGAAACCCCGAGAGTATGGCCCCCAGACACCCTTTTAGTTCAGTGGTGAAGTTACCTCCAAGGTTCACGGTTCAGCCTGGGAGTGGACAGCCCCGTAAAACCAAATGAGACTATCGAGGTACAGGAGTCCAGTGACAAGGGCCAGAAAGCGGAAGGGGACAAGGAAGCTGGTGATAGGGAACCCAAGGTTGAGTAAGGATATTGTTGATGTGTTGTGAGATTGTTAACCATTGTCATAGGGCAACATTTGTAGTAACTGTTAAATGAGAAACTATTTTGTTCTGTAAGCCTTCATCTTAAGTGAGAATAACAGCACAATTGGAAGAGCGTAGTCAGTGTCACTGAACTGTGTATGTAGAAATTTTTGAAATGGTGTATCTTTGGCTATGTGTATTTTCACCAAAAAAAAAAAAAAAAGAGGTTGAGTAGTTAGAGGGTTGCTATGTTGTGGGGTTATTAACCAATGTTATAAAACAACACGTGTACTTCTGTTTCATGAGAAACTATTTGTTCTGTAAGCCTTCACCTGAAGTACAATAAAAAAAAAATAAAATGAAAAAAAAATATTGAAAGCAATTCAAATCTTTACTTAAAAAAGCCCCTGGGTATGTGTGATGGGTGGGACGGCAGATACATTCTTAATGTAGACCAAAACTTATAGCGGCTATTCCTCAAAATCTGCTGATGTTCTCTCAGAAACATGTACACTCTCATGCTTTCTCCCCTTTCTTCCCTGGGATCCAGTCTGTTTTCTTCCATCAGTCACCTGCTTTCTTTTCATTGTCAATGTTACCAATCTTTCCTTTCTTTGACATGTCTCCTCTGTTCTCCCCACCATGCTCTTCTCCACCCTCGAACACAGACAGCTTACATACTCTTTACCCTGATTGAATGACAGAGCCCAAAACTGGGGGAAGGGAAAAAGGCTAAGTGAATAATACTGAAATATTTCTTGGCAGGTAAAAGGAAAGAAGAAAGGCTGTGCATACTCATGCCTTGATGCTTATTACTGACATACATTTTATTTGCTATGATTTATCTGTAACATGGCAAAACTTTTTTCCCTCCATGGCTGATATTTTTTTTTATTGTGGAAAAATATATATACATAAAATTTGCCATGTTACCATTTTTAAGTGTACAATTAATTGACATTAATTATATTCCCAATGTTACGTAACCATCACCTGTATTTCCAGACATTCATCACCCCAAACAGAAACTCTCTACCCATTTAGCAATAACTCTGTCTTTCTCCCTCCCCCCAGGCCCTGCTATCCACTAATAACCTTTTGTCTGTATGCATTTATCTATTATAGGTATTGCATATAAATGGTATCATACAATATTTGTCCTTTTTCATCTGGCTTATTTCACTCAGTATAATGTTTTCAAGGTTCATCCATGTTGTAGCATGTATCAGAACTTCATTTCTCTTTATGGCTGAATAATATTCCATGGTACATATACATATGTATATGTAGATATCTACGTATCTACAGGGGTCCTGGTGGCACAGTGGTTAAGTGTTTGGCTGTTAATCAAAAGTTGGCAGTTCGAATCCACCAGCTGCTCCTTTAAAACCCTATGGGGCAGTTCTACTCTGTCCTATAGGGTTGCTATGAGTTGGAATCAACTCAACAGCAACAGGTTTGGTTTTTTGGGTTTTTTTTTGGTGTATATATCCCTCATTTTGTTTATGTAGCCATTCCTCTGTTGATGGGCATTTAGGTTGTTTTCATATTTTGGCTACCATAAATAATGCCACAGTGAACACTGGTGTACATGTATCTGTTTGAGTTCCTGCTTTCAGTTCTTTTGGGTATATACCTATGTACCAGGTACCAGTATTGTGGATCAACTGCTGGATCATATGGCACTCCAGGAGCCATGAGTACACCTAAAGCTCAGACCTTGGTTTCTAAATATCATTATTGCACACTGAAAGGAACCAAAGCTCCTAGAGAAATGGCAGTTCAGGTCTGGGGCAAGTAAATACTTATACAAGGTGAACCTGAAATATTCTGTTGTGCCAGAAAGCAAGGAAGGTTGATGGAGTTAGGTCAAAGGTTACAGGAGTGGCTTAAAGGGGCTCCCACTGGCCAAAGTTGAGACAATTTTTTTTTTTTTATTGTACTTCAGGCGAAGGCCTACAGAACAAACAGTTTCTCATGAAACAGTAGTACACATATTGTTCCATGACATTGGTCAACAACCCCACAACATGTCAACCCTCTCCCTTCTCAACCTTTTT